AGCGACAACAAGGTCAACCCACTTCCATAATGTATTTAGTTTAGCATAGTCGTGCGGTTTTCTCTATAATCTAGTTTCACTTGACTGAACACGGTTGAGCATGAATTCTCCCGTTTCACAGTGAAAACAGTCTTCTGCTTCCGATTAGATCCACTCAGAAATTCTTTCCCGTCAACTTTCCTTCCAAACGTAAGTTCGGTTGCCACTAACAGATCAAATCTCTTCTGGGCTGCAGAATTCTCTAGGCCTCGCAGCAATTCGTTGGCCTTAACGACGTAATACTCAATTTGTCTTGATCTTCTCAATTTGCCGATTTTGGTCCTGAAGCGTAATTAATATGTGATCAATACGAATCAGCTATTATTTGCCTACAATAACGAATCTTCTGGAGGCGCGATCAGATATGCAACTTGGAACAACACTCGTAGGTGAGATAAGGAGCAACGATAACAGCAAACAGCTGCCATGCCAGAGAGCATGCGAAAACTGTCAATGGTTGCCGGACGGGCCAGCTAGTTGTTGCCATCAGGTCTGGCTTGTGGGCCGAGTGTGGAGGGCATCGGGCCTGGGACTGTACCCACCTGCAGGCCATCACAGCCATCTTGTGGGCCAGCTGAACGAGGTGGGCACAGGCTGTTCGGATCCTGAGGCCAACTGGAAGCCACCTTTCGGTAGGAAAGGTAAATCAAGTCTGGCCAAATAAAAAACTCGCAAGCCTGCTAGGGTCAGTATTTCACGCCGAAATATGCGTTTTATCCCTACCTACCCCGTGAAACAGGAGGAGGCCTGCACACATCCCACATGTCCATACATCCACATGCCCACATGCCCACATCGGCCATCTCATTCACCGTTGTCCGGTGAACAAGTGTACCACTTATCCGCCTTGAGACTGGGTGTACCGACTGGACAGCAGACGGGCGAGACGGTACAAATTGCTCAGCGATAGAACCAAATTTACACCTCTTTTGTGCAGCGAGTTACGGGGCGCTTCCTTTCCGTTGCCAATGCGAGGCCGGCCCTGCGACTCAGTGGTCCCAGGCTTTAAACCCCACGATCCGACTTACACTCGCACGACTGAGGGCAAGAGACGGCGGAGCGGAGAGAATCGACGCCAGTTAACCAAAATCACATACAATTGCTCTAAGATTCGGACCAGGAGTCGTGAACCTTCAAATAAAATAATGTGTCTAGTACAATTGGAAAGCAATCTCTTCTGCTACCAATTCATCTTGTTGAGGAAACTTTCATTTTGTGTGAAAGTGTGAAGGTCAATTTTAGCAGAAAACGATGTAAGATTTCCGTTGCACTGGGGATTTAAAACCACATTCAACTTCACGCATTTCATGAAACATCATCCCTCGTTTAGAATGAAAACTGGCCAAGCTTACATCCATCATGTGATGTACGCAATCAGAACTGGGACTCACTCTTGCAAAAGTCTCAAGTTAACAATCATCAAGTCAAGAATACTGTTTCGCCTATTAGTAGGTTTTCGAGACTACCTGTAGGTCATTTATACATAAAGTATGCTCACTAGCTCTGACGATACAGCCAAGTTGTGAAGCAAATTACGTCGAGAATAGAGGCCATACCAACTTAATCTACATGTGATATGTATTCACTCTATTTCGTTTAGGTGATGATGGACTGGTAGTAGAATTTTCCCACAATGATATGAGTTAAGCTGACGTTTCCATTAAATTTCACAAAGCCTTGCTTTCCCAAAAGTTGTTCTCATCCAGGCACCAGTGGACTGCAGTTTCGACCCCGCATCGGTCT